GAGGGACCCTCAGGGGGGCAGTAAGGTATCCTTCTCCCCCCCCCCTTCTCGAAAACAACACAGTAAATCATGTACTGAGCAGTGTGTTAAGCCCAGCGGTCAGCAGAGGACACACTGAGTCGCACAGCAGAGTGTGTGGCTCAGGAAACAAATTTCTACACGGCTTATGACACCGCTTACTACGCCCTTCAAACACACATTTACTGCTTGCACTGATTTACTGTATATTTTAGTAACTGACATCCAGTCCGGCGTGTACTCCAGCCGTGCACCCCCTGGTACCTGAGATGGGCTCCAGGGCCCTCGCGATCCTCACTAGGAAAAAATATTTTGAAGAATGGATGTTCAAACTGGAGGGAAGAGTTTATTGTGCTGCAGAGTACAAAGTAAAGCAATACACTATTTATTCTATGTAGTAAACATGTAGTAAACTACAGAGCAACCAGAGCAGCCTGTTCCCAAGGTGGTTGTGGTGGTGGTGGGGGGGGGGGGTGATGAGGTTATCCTCAATTCCCATTTTCACCCCTGCAGGACAGAGGCCCCTCCCCCAGAACCATGTCCAGTTTGCCGCCTCCCAGTTTGGCTCAACTCATGAGACAGGAGGAGCAGCAGCCGTCTGTACAGCTAGAGAATCTCCAGCTGTCTCCACGCGTCGGTATGAAGTATCAGATCACCAAGAACATCCTAACGTCATCTCAAACAAAACAAACAACCAGGATCACAATGTTACTGCTAGAAAACTTCATATCTTAGCCTGAAGGGCGGTGCTGTAGAGTAGATCCTGGCAAGTCACCCAGACCTGAGGACAAAGCCAGCTTCCCTAGAGCAGAGGCTCAGCAGGTCAGGGCCTGTGGTTTTACTTCACATGTTGCCTCCACCCTGTGGGTTAAATCCTACAACAGATTAAATGTAAAAATTCCCCGGGAGGGGTTCTTTGGAACTGGCTGGCATGGGGGTACCTTGCTGGGGCGGCGTCCAATTACGACAGCTAGCAGGCAGAGGCCGTTGTGACAATGCCCTCTGGCCAGGTGACAGGGACGTTGCGGGAACAGCAAATGAATGAGAGCCTGGGCGTCCAGACGCAAGGGAAGGGTGGGCAGGGGGGGTGGGGGCGGGGAAGCAGGTGAAGCAGGTGCGCAGTCAATAATTATCAAACAAAGCTCAGTGACACCCCCAGGGACGCCTCAAGTGTGCCGGAACAGCCTGTAACTGAGGCGGAGTGCTTATGAGTCTGACCCTTACCTAAATCCCGGCCATGCCAAAAGAACACCCTTAAAACTAACGCAGGAACATTCCAGCACCTGGTGATGCACCCCCAGCGAGCACAGGCACCAGCCAGATGACCCGCGCTGGCAGCCACAGGCTTAGTGAGGTCTGGGCCATGTGACGGTCACCTTTCCTCTGCCCAGATACTCTCTAGCTAGGCAGCCGGCCCTGCGCTGCACCAGCAGCGCTTCCGATTGGCCACCGTGCGCTAAATCGGAGGTGTGTCTATCAGCTGGTTGGTCAATCAGCACGTGAGGAGGATCACGACACACGGGCTATATGAAGATCCTCAACGCTGAGCCCAGATGGGAAAGGTCAACAGCACCACAACCGTAACCAGCCGGGATTTCTAACTGGAACCAGTGGCCATTCACAAGGCTACAAGATGAGGAACATTCTGGGGCCTCGCTGGAATTCCTGGGAGGGTCTGTTCTCTCATAACTCAGGCCAGCAGGCCTCTCAGGGGCAGTGAGAAACGAGAAGCGCCTTTACCACAGAGCAAAATAACAGCACTTCGCTCCAAGGTCTCCATTAGCCTTTGCAAGAGGCCGGTGAATCGGACGAGAGGATGTGAAATGGGCCTGCCGTTATTTCCACGGCGACAAGGCGGGCAGGTGAATGCATCAGACAGGAGCAATCGAACAGCCCGTGAGCCGATGTCAGCGTGGCTACGACTCAGAAGGTTTAGGAAAAAATTCAGTATATTCTTCGAGGGAAAGACAGGTTTCTATCTCAGGGAGCAATGGGGGCGCCGATGCCATTGCGGCCAGAATGAGGGACGAGGGCGGAGCTGAGGGAACGGACCGCCCTCACACCGAACCTCGGCCAATCAGAGATGGCACTCTGTTGGCAGGCTTCCGGGGAGATGGGGGGGGGGGGGGGGGACACAGTGTCCTGCTCCACCTCCCCTTCCTGAAGACACAAGACCCTGCCATTCAATTCCTATAAATGATACTATCCTAAAGAGGCCCAACCCAGGAGAGGACATTGTCTGATGTATTAGAGCACCAGTAAATACACACACACACACACACACACACACACACACACACACACACACACACACACACTTGCATAGTTGGACAATTCTACAGCAGAGCTAATTCTGTCACCAAGATGTCATGCATTTAGTGAAGGGTACAATCCGTAATGCAGCATAATTGGATATCTGGGATACAACAGCAAAGAACTGATGGTATGTCAAACAAAGCCAGCCAGTTCTTTCAGACCATAGCCAGATTTCCTGCGATTGTGATTCCATTCCCTGACATGGGTTGGTGCCCCATCCCTGCCTTGCGCCCGGAGCCTCTGGGATAGGCTCCGGACCCCCGTCACCCTGAACCAGACAAGCAGGTATAGAAAATGAATAGATATAATTCCATTACCATAGAACTAGACACATTCATATACACATAGATATACTGTACATAGATATACAGGCTGTTCCACGTGTTTCTGTGCTGGCCTGTAAACAAGGGATAGATGTTTGTATACTGCCAGTCTCTTCAGTTTCCATGTGATTTCACCCCCAGTTTCGTGCTGCAGTGACACGCCTGAACGCACCAGTCAGCGGAGGGAGACACCCAACACTCAGCAAGCTCTGCCATCCCAGAAGAGCACTGACGTTTAGGGTGGGCAACCAGCCCCAGTTCCGCAAGACGATGATCCGTTCAAAATCCCCAATCCGACTCCAATTTTGAAGAAAATCGGCCAAAAAACACAGTCGATACAAATCAATACACCCATTGCATCGCTATTACTGCATATTACTGTAATATTTGAATGTCAAGATCTTATGATCTACTTAAGTTACCTGAAGTCTTAGATGGCTGCAGCGAATAATAAATATAATGATTATGACTTTACATCAAATGTAGGATCATTCAATACATTAGCTTGATGTAAAACGTATAGAATCAGCGCTACACTGAATCACATTGAATTATTATTGTTTAACTGTATAGGTTTTGTGTTATAGACTGTGTATCAAAAAGCGCATTGTATCGATTGTGAGGAGGAGATATACTCACCTATTAATTTTTCCAAAATCTACTCAACAGCTACAATTATGAGCGAACAAAGTTACAAGGAACTGTTTAAGACGTATTCGAGTGAAAATAATGGCATTGGATGCAAAAGAAAAGCTTTAAAACTCAAACAAAAGTTTGTTCTCTTGAGCATCATGGTTAATGGGTCGGTTGGGTTGTGAATATTCCGCCCAAACCCAATTTTGTTCCTGTTACTGATATTCTGTGATTTCGCAAAATGCAAGGTTTGAATTTGTTTTAGCAGAAATTCTAGTATATACATCCTTTTATACAAGATGCACACAATGTACACACACACACACACACACACACACACACACGCACTCAGGGTCCATGACCAGAAAATGTGCTCATCTCACTAATGAAAAGCCCTCGGGCGGACTCCGGAACAATCCGTTTCTCCCATTCCACAGCATCCCCGTCCCGCTCCAGGGAGCTCCTCAGCCAAACTCTACATCCAGGGTCATCCTCCAGTACCGCACAGCACACTGAGCCACCGGTCCACTGGGAGCCTGCAGGGCACGAGCCAGAGCCAGTCCCCAGCGAGACGGTCCGGGACATGCTTCGCTGGGGTGAGAAATGGAGCAGCATGAAACACGCCGGCTAGGCCGCGCTACCGGAATCCGGCCACCGGGGACACCATGCTACCATAGCGGGACACCCATCCGAGTCCGATTAGTGCCGCAAAGCCGGATATGCAGAGTGACACCGGCCTGACTGATTCAGACACTCAGGCATACAATCCCAGTTTGGATATTCATTTTCTGAATGCACAGCTGAGAGGTGAAGGGACAGCAGGGAGAGGCAGTCAGGCTGTTTATGTGTTAAATGCTTTTGGTTCATCTCCAAAAACAGCTGCAAGTCCAAGTTTGCAAACCTGAAAAGTAATACATATGCAGACATTGAAATATAAAAATACGCTCCAGCTCCACATCTGCAGAAAATGCAAAGAAATGCGTTAAAGACGGGGGTCAAACTGGGTACTGGCTTGGGTCGCGGCCCCGCCGCTCTCCATTGAAACCCCTCTTCCCAGGCTTAAATCAGCCCAATTAGCAGTTAATAGTCTGTGCAACAGCCGAAACTGCCATTTCTGAACATGCAGCTGGCCAGCTGACTTCAGCTCTAAGCCATCGCTGTGTGATGTGTCAGAAGCATAAAGGTGGGCGGGACTAATGAAACACGCTGACGGGTGATTGGAGCAACATGCAGGCTCTCTCAGTGGGCCTTGCCAAGAGAGGATGCTACGCTACGCTACGCTACGCTACGCTACAGGGTCAGCCTGGCCACTCCCTTCTTCCCGGCACGCCATTGATCCCGCCCACCCATGACAGGTCCGAGGCCCCTGTGGGGGTGAAAAAGGAGATGAGAAAGGTCCTCTCTCTTTGCCTTAATCTTAGTCTGTGGTTTGGAGAGGCATTCATGATTATAATTGATTCCTGATCAGTGAGGCTCCTGCAGTCTAAGTTATCAGTCATCGTGTTCCTCTCTATGAATCTCCCAACGCTCTTAACACCATTCGGTGGTAAACAGCTAAACGTAAAAATGCTTCCTTCTGTTTATTTAATCTGCTTAGCAAACATTTTTATTCAAAGTAAACTGCCTACCTTAGATACCGGCCCCTCCCCCCAATCTTTACAATTTATTCGGCTCCCGGAGCTACTGTTTCCGTTATTTAATCTCTTCACACGACGCAGCTTTGAAATTTCACTATTCATCTATTTATAGCCGTATACTTAAGCGTGAGAAATCCAGGCCAAGGGCCATCATTCCAAGGCTGCGGGCCTCCGTGCCGACAGCTGCTCTGTGCTCGCCGTCGTCTGCAGGTCACAGAGCCTCTTCGTTAACCGAGTGGACCTCGGCACGCTTTCCTCTGGGGAGCCGTCACAAGGCAGCCACGGCAGACATGAACCCCGGCTAAATGGGAGCGGATACTCCAACTGGATAATCCCAGCGGGGGCCAAACGGGGCCATCTCAGGGCGGACAGTCGAGCATTCCTGCCTCCCTCCTGTTGACGAGCAAGGCCATCTTTACTTGGGTGCCTGTAGCTGCTGTTTCCAGTTTAGGATTACCATTGTTAGCCTGCCTGTGTGCCCTTATCACAGGTTGACATAACCCCCCTCCACCCCCAGGACATGCTTTCTCCTTGCCACCTGCCATTATTTACATCCCCCCCCCCCATTCATTTCAAAAGGTCTCACTCCCGACCAATCGACCATCCTTTTGTCCCAAGCCCCACGGGGCAATACAGCAGGAGGTCTCAGCGAAAAGATGCCCCAAACCCCCCACAGAAAGGAGAGCCAGACTCTTCAAAGGGGAAACAGGAGAGGTCCTTAGTGACAGGCGGAACGGGCTGCTGCTGGACCGGACCTCGCTTTGCCAGAAGCGGCCCCCGCCAGGTGTGGCCCTTGTCACAGGGACACGCCAGGTTCTGCAGATGTGCCGGCATTCCCAGAAAGCCGGCCTGAAGCGAAGGGGCTTTATTACCACCTGCGGCAGGCAACCTGAAATAACTCTGAGAAACATGCGGGACCGTGGAGAGGGGAGTTGACTAGCCACCGAACGATGGTGGCTTTGACGCCCACAAAGGACCCGTAATTGCATCCTTCAGCAAAATACTTAATCCAAGTGGCTCCAGTAAATATCAAGCTATATAAATACACTCAAAACTGTAATCAAGGTAAGGCGATTTTTGTTAAAAAAAAAAAAAAAACAATTATATAACAAATCACAGCTGTGTTGTTAAAGCTTAGTGTGTTGAGTCCTAGACACTTAGTGTGAATGTGGGCCAGAGATTAAATGACAGCAGAATACCTACATCCCAGATTGTTCAGCACCATCCAGAAGCCGTTTTATTGACTCACTGCAGCCTTTATCACTGGAATCCAACCTCATCTATTTCCTGCCCTTCTTCTCACACAGCTCACTGGTCTAACTGTTAAGCGCAGAAATGACAGGAAGTGACACTGCAAGCTGGAAATAAAACCGGGCACTGTGGGGAAACTCATCCCAATGACACCGAGGGACATACCAACTGACTGAGGACACCCCACTGACACCGAGGGACATACCAACTGACTGAGGACACCCCACTGACACCGAGGGACATACCAACTGACTGAGGACACCCCACTGACACCGAGGGACATACCAACTGACTGAGGACACCCCAATGACACCAAGAAAATAATAATTGAGTGCATGCCACTGACACAAAGAGATATATAAATGGACTGAGAGCACCCCACTGACGCTGAAAGACATACCAACCAGGGCACCCTTCTGACGCTGAGAGACTAACTGTCACTAACTGAGGACTCCCCAGTGAGAAAAGCCACAGTAATCAACCAATCACACCTCAGCTTGAGTTATACAGGGAGTGATGTTTCTCTGTGGTTTGACTGTAACCCCCCCACCAAACACACACACAAAATGCATTCTCACATTCAAACTGGGTTTCACACATAGTGGACAGTGGATGCTTGCCTGGCCCTTAACAACCCCCCCACTAAACCCCTTAGAGCTCTTCATACATAGAAACAGCAACTTCTCCAAAAACAGGAAAGCTTCAACCGTCAACCACCATGAGTACCCTCCCATAACTCTGACTGTGCCCCACTTACCTGAAGGGCAGGTTCAGCCCATCACCGGACACTTGACAGGGCAGCAAAGGGTCAAAGGATACAGCCTGAGAGCCCCGCTCTGGGTGCCGATGGCCAAGATCTTCTGCACCGGGTCAAAAGCCATTGAGGACGGCTGGTAAGGGAAGCCATGTCGCACGGTCTGAACGGCCAGGGAAAGACAGCGCGGGGAGAGTGAATAAGGAGCTCCGTGGGGCATTTATTACAGCGATCAGACCGAGTTTTCAGTCAAATCCTGTTTTATTTGTTCAAAGAAAAAACGTGGAAATTTCTTTCAGTCTCCCTCTGCAGACGACTATGACAGTTCATACGAACTTGTATTTAAAGTGTACTTTTTGGATCTTTCCTCAGAGGCACATGTCTTATATCATTATATTTATATGGCAATTACTCTGAGTTAAAGAGCATGTCGTGATTCATACAGCAAGCAGCCAGCCGGCTGTCTACGGACGGGATTAAAAGTTAAAGCGTATTACATAAGAATCCGTCTTGGGGACAGACACCCGTGCTCGGCGGTGATGGGGACCCGGCCATGGGGGGGGGGGGGGGGTTGTGTCTGCTTCCCAAGCGCGTCTACAATCAGTGCCATCGCGTTTTCCCTGATCGTATAATCGTGTGATCCGTAAACACTGTTTTGCTAATACAGTGCAAGAAAGAAATCACAAGCGCCGTGAACACAGAGGTAAAATGCAGTCCTGTCTACCTGAATGTGTCACAAGAGAACCTACACATAACATAACCATGTCTTGATGAAAAACACTAATTCTTGTGCAATGATAAACGAACCGCATATGAGTTTTGTTTTATAATGCGTTATATGACACGACATCCTTATACAAATGCTTCAAATAAAACCTTGAAAGCGCCCCCAATTTAAGCAAGAGGAAACGCGTAAGGTCACGGTACCATTCACTTCTCCTAAGCATTTGGGGAAAGATCGCGATTTTAATACAGGTATGGAAAAACTGCGCCCTTTTTTTTTACATTAAACCTCAAGCAAACATAGCTATCATCCGTTTAAACATGCAGTTTAAACAAACGCATGGTATAAATAGTGGAATTGTGTATATTTATTTTAAATAAACCCAGCGGTATCAAAAGGTCATTGTGTCAAGGAAAAATATGCATGTGATATCGCACCTAGCTTCATATCTTCCCCTATGTGAATCAATTAGCACACACAATAATTTAGGCATATTCGAAGGCACATTATTAACACGCTATGGTCAAGCTGTAATTTTAAGTTGAATGTTGTTACACTTTTGGGCGAAATCGTTCAAAATAAGCCTCATCGTTTTAATTGGTGTTGGACAGGGGAGGTAAGATGAAATGACAGGAGCCGCGGTTGCCAAATGTTGATTCAGTCCTGCAGGAAACCGCTTCCTATCATGAAAAAAGCCTCCCATGTTGGATCGGGCATGTTAGTTTAAACACGGCGGATCATGCAAAGCGCTTCCCTCGCTGTTTGACAGTCTCCTGCACGTTGCACATGAGTAGTTTGACCGGTCTCTGTGATGGTTTAAGATAATAATGCTCGATAAACACTTAAATTAGTAAACAGTTAGAAGTAGATAGAGACTGATAGGCTGCTGAACAGATCCGTATTTATGGAACCATCTATCACAAGGAAATCGGCAATTCATAATGTATGCCACAACAACAACAAGAATAATAATAATAACAACAACAATAATAAACACATGTTCAGCAAGCATCCACTTTTGTGGATTTGTTGAAGTGCTTAAAGCACAGCGACATTGACAGCTGTCAGGAATAATACTGCCAACAAGGGATTTTTCCCTATTGCATCTTTCCCCCAAATTATCAGGCGTGGATTTAAAATACAATTAAGGTGATTATTAAAATATTTCAAAGAGAAATTAAGAATATCAGTGACTCAGAGTCCTGTCAAATGACTGTGCTGCTCATCCTTTTCCTGAGGCTGTGTTTAATCAAATATTCGCCGATGATCATATAACCGCCAATGTCCGGTTAAGATACATACTTTCCATGAAATAAAATGTCCCATTTTACGTACAGTAGTGCATCGTAAAATAAAATTACCATTTTGTTTTTGCAGTAAAAAGGAGATTTGAGAGATTTTCTTGATAATAATATACAGTGCAGGGCTTAAAATATCCGCAACTGTAGTGCCGGTCCATATGTCTAAATTTGTCGGTAACATTAGATGATAAAACCGGGCGCAACTAGGCAATAGGCATTAGTTTAAAAGAGGCAGCGCGTTAAAATGTCCGATGATTACCTTGCAGAGCTGGAAATGCTCGGACTGGAGCGTCTCCGGGATCAGGTCGTTTTCCTTATTCCCAGGTTGGGAAGCCGCAGAGGAAGAGGATACCGCCGTCAGGCCGTCCAGCACCTTCCTGATGTTAAACTTCTTCATTTTTGTTTTCTTCCCCCCCGAAAAGACGGAGACGACAGCGACGAGCCACAAAGGGAGATGGCCAGTAAACGCACCGCGGACGGGAGCAGCCACACGCTCGCTCTGCCTTATTCTGTAAAGCTCACATGTTACGGCGTCTTGTCACTGCGGTCTCCATGTCCCAGCGCACAGCCGCCGCTCTTCAGGTGCCGATCGTCGCCGCGCTACCTGGAGCTGCTGCTTTATTTCTTTGTTATTGGGGCTGCGATGAGCCGGTGCGATCTCCCCCGGCTCGGTGTCCCGCTGCGTCTCTCCCTCCCTCTCTCTCTCCCTCCCTCTCTCTCTCTCTTTCTCTCTCTCTCCCTCCCTCCCCTCCAAGTCAACACGGAAACGCGACTGCGGCGAGGAGTCTGCGCATTCCCGCTCCCGCACCCGGATGTTTAGCGGAGCAGACGCAAACTGCTGCTTGCTCTCGGCCGGCTTTGGCGATCGCCCGCGCAACAGAGCCCCCGGATCCGCCTTGGCCGGCGCCGCGGATGCTGAGGATGTGCTGCGGTAGCTGCGGAGCGTGGCTGCGGGTGGTACCTGCTCACAGCACCGGAGTGTATCACTTGTACTCAACATGTTCTCAAATTTCATGAATTGCCAGCCTTCTCTGTTTAGTCTATATTAGACAGCGTGTCCTGGTGCACTATTACATACCCTACCAATCAAGAATACTTAAAATACTACAAAAAGAGGATCAATCATTCTATTCTTGATTTAAAACGCCTGCATTTTCATGTACATTCGGATTTCCTGTAACTGGTTATGCAATGACTTTCCGAGGTACCCTGCTGCGTGTTTAGACCTCGTCTAACAACGACTTCTCCTAACCCTCTGTCATAAGCACATGGTCCGCATGGTATTATTGTGCAACTAACTGTCAGCATTTGTGTACATTATCCGTAAGCCTTGTATCCTCCAGGGACTGCGGCCTAGTACAAGGAATTAGTTTAGAAGCAACATTAAAAGTAAAAATGACATTGGAATAAGCAGGCGGAGCGGCAGTAATCGAACCATAAAGCTGTAACTTAATATAAAACGAGTCTTTAACGGCCCAGAACACAGAACTGAATCTGAATTTCCTATAGTAAAGTTACTCGGCTGTGCAAATTAGGAAAACCGTAACTGTATCCAAAGTCGCTTTTTATTAAAAAGAAAAGTGTTACATTGACACATTGCTACTTCTTGCACGAACTGAATTCAAAATGTGCCGAGTCATCCCATTTTCTGACGTGCGCCTCACACGGGGATGTTCTTGGACACCGGGAGTCAAGGTAGCAGAGCCACCGCCAGATTTATTTGGGTACATGTACGTCCAGCACTTTATTCCTTCGTTTGCTTCTATCAAAATCCCATTATACAGATTCCTGGAATTCCTGGAGTTTTGCTGAAGTGCATCACTATAGCAAAATTTTTGTAGTGTACAAACTTGTCGCCTTTTCAGGTTCTGTTCCATAATCACTACGCCCCCCTACTGGATATACTAAGGCAGGGTTGTTCAGAAGCTCAGCTTGTGTGCACTGGCACTGTTGGCTCACATAAAGCCCCGGACAGGCAGAAAATAATGCATTAATTTCAGGTACTGCATAATACCATGTCGGTCCTGGTACAATATCCTTCCATGAGCATCTAGGCCAAATGGATTCATCTTAAACTTCTACAGAACCACCCAGATTTTTTATTTTTTATTTTGGGGGGGGGAGTGTTGGAAGGTCAACGTTTCACAGTAGATGGAGATCTCCACCCTCTGGTCACACTCCAACCACTTCCCAGCGTACACTCAACACTGAACAAGCCATAGGTTAGGTCTGAAATAAAGGGGCAATTAATTATTAACCTCATCAAAAATAAGCCCAGTTTGTTGTGGGGTGGTGCTAGAAGGATTTCTGTCACTTTGTCACTTACTACCAAAACAGAGTTGGTGTCTGGCAGGGTTCCTCAAACTACGCTCCCCAGGCCAGATGCGGCTCCCTCCCTCCATCAGACTGACCCTTTTTAAAACATCAGCAGTGCATATAGTTCAGCTGAAATAACACGCATAGGTGTGTAAGGAAAAACGCAGCAAAGCAAATGTGGTTATCCTCCTTAGGAACATTAAAGATGAATAAAAAACTTTCGGCTCTATATAATCCTGTTAATGCATATCTGTTACCCAGACTTCCCACCTCTCCCGGAAGTCCTGGGAGTCTCCTGCAAACCGACACCCGCGAATGACGCGCAGTGTCCTGGAAATCTGCCGTTCCGCTGTTCAGCGGCAGTAACATGAGCCAGCAACAAGTTTCACTGCTGCAACTCCACCGCAACCAGTTGGCAAATTTTACCACCAGCACCCCCCCCCCCCCCCCCCCCCTTCCCCAGTCGACAAATCTCACTGCCCCCTAACACTCCTGCTCCCCTTTGATTAAAAAGTTTGAGGACCCCTCGTGCATGGCGTCCACAGCGATGACACGCTCGAATTTCACTATTACGTAGCTGCAGAATTTGGCTAGACGTTAGTAGATGTTATAAGGGGTTCATGTGTTGCGCCAAAGTGCCGCCGCTCCCCGCAGATGACTGGCTAATTGGAAAGCATCACTCGCGAGAAAGCGGCCACCAGTGACGTAAGCTTGCTATTTCTTAGCCGGCTGGAATGGGCAGGCGGTTCATTTAACAACAGGGAAGAGAGAACTGACTCATCCAGCACTCTGCCTGTGTGATTTGATAACACTCTTATAAGGAGGCCCTGCATTGTTTTTTCAGGCGGGATCAAGTGGAGACGCGACCTTTCACGGAACGACAGCGGCTCTGAGAGCATCACGCTAAATTGGTTGTTTTTTATTAAAAACAAAAACAAAACAAAATCATCCAGCTCTTGGATGATCAGTGCATTTTTGTGCTGTGACACTAATACTTAAGTATATATTTTATCTGGGGGGGGGGGGGGCATCCCATTAATGGCTCTCCAATCAGTACTTAAACCTGCAAACCTGACCAAAGAGCCAAGCATGCTTTCTTACATAGCATGGGTGTCTCACTGGGCTTGACCTTGCACTGACCTGTCCTGACCTTCAGGAAGCTCAGGTGTCACTCTCTGGTTAACTGCCCTTGCCGTCGTGCAGGGTACCCCAGCTAATACAGAGGACAGACAGCAGAACTGAGGGTGAGCTGGGACTTTGCTCTTAGAGGACATTCAGATGTGTAAAAGGTATTAGTGCTCTTACCATAAATACTATATCACCGTCAAATTCAGTCAACCAAGTCTACACTTAGTTCAGGAGATTATATCAGGAGGGAATGTAATCTAGGATATGATATTTATTTGCTGTTTTTACCAGAAGAGATAAATAAGGAATCTTTACTCACATACCTTATCTTACTCTCCTATCACACAAAAATATTGAAAGCAAAGTTTGGACTAAAAGCAAGGCCGGTTCTACCCTTTCAGGAGACCTAGGCAAAGTTTGGGCTAAAAGCAGGGAAAGTTCTACCCTTTCAGGGGACCTAGCCAAAGTTTTAATTGGGAGGCCCTGTACCAAGAAAATTGACGATCACTTCCTCCACAACCCATGAGCTGGCCCAGAGTCAGAGCTCAGACCCAGCCACCTATCCAACACCTCTCATGCAGTTTTTGTGGTTAAGGGCTTTACTCAAGAACAGAGATATGATTGTGATATCACACTTCTGCTGGTCACAGGATCCAAACCAATGATCTTCCAGACATGGACACTGGTCTCTAATCTGTAGAGCCACACAACACGCATGTAGCGTTATTACAGCAAGGAGTTAAAAAGACATTTCAACAAATCTACTGAATTATACATTATAATGAATAAACAGTTCTAAAATGTCTATAGCAGGTTTTAGTACAGTAGTTACTAGATAAATTGAACTATTTCTCAAGAAAATTTTCAATGGCAAATTAAAAACAGCAATCTGTGTCCATTTCTGGAGAGAGTATCAACATGATTCACATTATTATGAGTAAACAGTGTAAGCAATGAGCATTTGTTTAATTGTTTTTTTACACAGCACCTTAAATAAGTTACTTGCTTTTGTGTCTGCCTGATGTTCACAATGTGAATCGCTCCACATCTGAATGTAATTGTTGATGCGGGATCATATGTTAAGTGCTTTGGTGCGATCAGGAGGGGAGGAGTCTACAAAAATAAACATGATTGAATTAAACAATAATTCTCCAGTGTAATAAGTTTAATTACTATAAATGCATGCAGATATAGCCATGGTGTCTGAGTTTGGAAGACAAATGAGAACCTGTAAGTGGCCTGCTATTGAATGCTAATCCAATTCTGCATATTTATGGGTAGTTTTATAGGCATATGATTCAGAAACTCACCCCCCAGGCCAGAGAGCAGGGCAGTTAAGCAGAAGACCTCACATCACGCAAATACACTGATTGTCCACTCTGATAGGTGACATTTTAAGACATTGCATGGGCTGTGACCGCCATCATTTGAGTCCATTCATTTTTTGTTTTTGGCACACGGTAAATCTTCTCCGTTACCAGTACAAACCGGACATAGATTCTCGCACTGCTTCTTAACATCCCCATTTTAATCTTGTTTTGTAATCGACTACACATCGGCGTCTCTGCATACTGCTGTATCACGCTAACGGAGGTGTTGTAACTTAAGACGTTGTTGAGGCAGGGACAAGTAACTGGTCCAAAAATGCACACTGCATCCTAATAACCTTGCAGGCAGCCCCCCTCCCCCCCCCAGCCCGAATCAGACAGAGCTGCTACAGAGCCGTGTAGGTGTGTTTTAGGTGTATTTTTGTAGGTGCGCGAGTCAGTCTGCGTGTAGATGTGCTGGTGAGAAGCTGTGCTGTGTGTGGGTAGCTGTACGCGTTTAGATATCTCCACGTGCATCTCCACGCGCACTTGTGGGCGTGCAAGTGAAGACCTGCACGCATGTCGCTTCGTGGATCCGTCTACGGTGCACGGGGACGTGGCTTGTCCCTGTGTAGGTGTCCGTTTGCTGTCTCTGGCTGGATGGACACCTCCCCTCTGCTGGGGGGTCCTCTTGCTTGCTGATTTCCTTGGCGAGTGATTCTGGATCAGCTCATTATCCCTACCGGGCGGTTGGCTTAGCCATTTGGGCTTAACGATAATACTGACCCAGGGTCAGCAGCTGAAGGCATCGTGAATCCTGGAACGGCGTCGCTGTCTGGGCCCGAGGGCACGCTGTTCACATCTGTGACGGCTTGGTGGGGACGCCCGTCTTAAAAAATGACACCCTTCACCTGACGCGGTCTGACATCTGCACGGGAAATCGCTATAAATAATGCAGCAGATATATTTACACAGTCGCTCTTAGTGGAAATCCACACTCCGGGCAGAATTACATGTTTGTAAAATGCATTCTATGTATGTAATGGCTGTAATGCAATCAACAGCATATCACAGGCAGTCACTGCGACGCAAGTCGAATCCCCCGATCGGTTTTTTAAATGACTAGCAGTTACCATATTTCTCTATTTTTTGGAACATTCAGCAGTAGCTGTTTTTTTGCAGGGCGTGCGAAAGATGCCAGATTGCTTA